AGGAATCGAGGGTGGAAAGAAACAGTTCCAAGGTTGGCAATTGGTTTGTATTAGGTAGGTATATGCTCACCAGGGTGAATGTCTGAGCATAAATTTTCCCTTTCACAAAGATAAATCTGCCCTCTGGATCTCGGTACTCATTCAGGAATTGCCAGGGGATAGATTTAGCATTCAGTATACTCGTCCCCTTATATTTGGAAGACTACGAGGGGCTGTGATAGGCTGTAGAGAAATGTTTACTAGTGAGCCTAGGGATTTTGTTGGCTCCAAAAATTAGTTTCTTGTAGAAAGACCACCTGCGCCTTCAGTCTCCACAGTTCACGAAGGCAGCCAGTGCACTTCTCCCGGGCATTTAAGCCCTTGACTTTCCATGAGACAAACGTCACCACCGCCATCATCCAAAGTAACCTGGTAAGTGGAAAGGAAGGATGGATAGAAGGTTATGAGGGTAAGACGGGGGGAGAGAGGAGGAAGATAAAGAAAGAGAGAAAAAAAGGGGAGGAAGAAGTAGTGATAAAAAAGGCACCACACAGAAAACGAAAGGAAAGCTAAAGGAGAAAAAATAGCAGGGAAAAAAATTCTAAAGAAAATCTCTTCCAAGTTGTCGGCCCGGAAGAGAGCACCTAAAGGGGGAAGTGGTAAGGCACGGGCAGGAGTCGAGCCCCAACCCAAGGAGGGCCCCCACCTACGTCTTTATAATGACTAGAAATGACTTGGTAGTGTCTACAATCTTCATAGGGCTAACACGCCATCAGAGGGCATGGTAAATGGAAGCATGCATCCTCAGGGGACAGCAGCCCAGTCCCCTCCAAACCACACCCAGGAGGACCAACAACCCAATCACCCTCCAGCTCCTCTGGGATCGCACCGGAGTGAGATCAACCAAAGGGAGTTGACACGCCCAGGTCAGGCGTCCCTTTGGCTCAAGGCCAGCCACAGAGGATGACAAAAAACATAAAAACACATCATACCATCTATTTTTTAAGGCAGTAAACATAATATAAATCTCAACAGATCAGAAAATATTGTAGCCTCAGCCTAGTATAAAGACATAATATGAAAAGGCACATTCCTCCACACGGCATCCTGCAGCTGCACCCCCACAGTCCCGAGGCGATCGAGTAAGGCAGACGTGTATTTCTCCACTGTTCCTGTCCCAGCTGGATGTGGAAATGAAACGATCCACGCTTCCAAGTACAGGAGGCAGCACATTCCCACCTCGGGACTATGGGGTGCACCTGCGCAGGCCAGAAGCACAGCCAAAACCAACAACAAGTAAGTCAAACAGACTATGGAATGCCCAACAGAACAGAAGAGATAATAAATCAAGCCATAGTCATAATTATAGATGAACGAATTATTCAAAAATTCGATATGGCTGATTCGGCGAATTCGCGGAATAAATTCGATTCGAGTCAAATATATTCGCTGCGAATTTAACTTATAAAAAGGGTGTTTCTAGCCTTCAGAGAGCCTTTATATTAGTGCAGAACACTGTACCTTTAATTTAAATGCCCTTGGAGTCTGCTGGGGAAGAGAAATAATACTGTCAGTCAGTATGACATGCAGATGAGTGCCGTCGATCTTAGAATCACCGCACACTTCACTCATTTGGGCAGTCACGGGGCCAAAACCAGAGTGTGGAGCCACAGTGTGGCGGTGGAGGCAGCAGCAATGGGAGGCCATACAGCACCCTATGACAAAATGGAACCCACCAGCAGTGTGAGGAGACCTGAAAGTGGCACATTACAGAGTGTGGCGATGGAGACAGCAGCAATGGGAGGCCGTACAGGGACCCATGACACACTCTGGACCTGGCAGCAGCATGAGGAGGCAGTACAGGGGCCCATGACAGATTACGGGCCTGGCAGCAGCATGAGGAGTCGGTACGGGGGCCCATGGCAGATTACGGGCCTGGCAGCAGCAATGGGAGGCCAAACAGCACCCTATGACAAAATGGAACCCACCAGCAGTGTGAGGAGACCTGAAAGTGGCACATGGCAGAGTGTGGCGATGGAGACAGCAACAATGGGAGGCCGTACAGGGACCCATGACACACTCTGGACCTGGCAGCAGCATGAGGAGGCGGTACAGGGGCCCATGACAGATTACGGGCCTGGCATCAGCATGAGGAGTCGGTACGGGGGCCCATGGCAGATTACGGGCCTGGCAGCAGCAATGGGAGGCCGTACAGGGACCCATGACACACTCTGGACCTGGCAGCAGCATGAGGAGGCGGTACAGGGGCCCATGACAGATTACGGGCCTGGCAGCAGCATGAGGAGTCGGTACGGGGGCCCATGGCAGATTACGGGCCTGGCAGCAGCAATGGGAGGCCCGTAATCTGCCAGCACCCTATGACAAAATGGAACACACCAGCAGTGTGAGGAGACCTGAAAGTGGCACATGGCAGAGTGTGGCGATGGAGACAGCAGCAATGGGAGGCCGTACAGGGACCCATGACACACTCTGGACCTGGCAGCAGCATGAGGAGGCGGCGGTACAGGGGCCCATGACAGATTACGGGCCTGGCAGCAGCATGAGGAGTCGGTACGGGGGCCCATGGCAGATTACGGGCCTGGCAGCAGCAATGGGAGGCCCGTAATCTGCCAGCACCCTATGACAAAATGGAACCCACCAGCAGTGTGAGGAGACCTGAAAGTGGCACATGGCAGAGTGTGGCGATGGAGACAGCAGCAATGGGAGGCCGTACAGGGACCCCATGACACACCTGGACCTGGCAGCAGCATGAGGAGGCGGTACAGGGGCCCATGACAGATTACGGGCCTGGCAGCAGCATGAGGAGGAGTCGGTACGGGGGCCCATGGCAGATTACGGGCCTGGCAGCAGCAATGGGAGGCCAATCTGCCAGCACCCTATGACAAAATGGAACCCACCAGCAGTGTGTGAGGAGACCTGAAAGTGGCACATGGCAGAGTGTGGCGATGGAGACAGCAGCAATGGGAGGCCGTACAGGGACCCATGACACACTCTGGACCTGGCAGCAGCATGAGGAGGCGGTACAGGGGCCCATGACAGATTACGGGCCTGGCAGCAGCATGAGGAGGCGGTACGGGGGCCCATGGCAGATTACGGGCCTGGCAGCAGCAATGGGAGGCCGTACAGGGACACCATGACACACTGTGGACCTGGAGACAGCAGCATGAGGAGGCCGTACAGGGGCCCATGACAGATTACGGGCCTGGCAGCAGCATGAGGAGTCGGTACGGGGGCCCATGGCAGATTACGGGCCTGGCAGCAGCAATGGGAGGCCCGTAATCTGCCAGCACCCTATGACAAAATGGAACCCACCAGCAGTGTGAGGAGACCTGAAAGTGGCACATGGCAGAGTGTGGGATGGAGACAGCAGCAATGGGAGGCCGTACAGGGACCCATGACACACTCTGGACCTGGCAGCAGCATGAGGAGGCGGTACAGGGGCCCATGACAGATTACGGGCCTGGCAGCAGCATGAGGAGTCGGTACGGGGGCCCATGGCAGATTACGGGCCTGGCAGCAGCAATGGGAGAGGGAGGCCTGTACAGGGACCCATGACACACTCTGGACCTGGCAGCAGCAGCATGAGCAGCATGGGAGGCCGGTACAGGGGCCCATGACAGATTACGGGCCTGGCAGCAGCATGAGGAGTCGGTACGGGGGCCCATGGCAGATTACGGGCCTGGCAGCAGCAATGGGAGGCCCGTAATCTGCCAGCACCCTATGACAAAATGGAACCCACCAGCAGTGTGAGGAGACCTGAAAGTGGCACATGGCAGAGTGTGGCGATGGAGACAGCAGCAATGGGAGGCCGTACAGGGACCCATGACACACTCTGGACCTGGCAGCAGCATGAGGCGGGGGGTACAGGGGCCATGGCAGATTACGGGCCTGGCAGCAGCAGCATGAGGAGTCGGTACGGGGGCCCATGGCAGATTACGGGCCTGGCAGCAGCAATGGGAGGCCCGTAATCTGCCAGCACCCTATGACAAAATGGAACCCACCAGCAGTGTGAGGAGACCTGAAAGTGGCACATGGCAGAGTGTGGCGATGGAGACAGCAGCAATGGGAGGCCGTACAGGGACCCATGACACACTCTGGACCTGGCAGCAGCATGAGGAGGCGGTACAGGGGCCCATGACAGATTACGGGCCTGGCAGCAGCATGAGGAGTCGGTACGGGGGCCCATGGCAGATTACGGGCCTGGCTGCAGCAGCAATGGGAGGCCCGTAATCTGCCAGCACCCTATGACAAAATGGAACCCACCAGCAGTGTGAGGAGACCTGAAAGTGGCACATGGCAGAGTGTGGGCGATGGAGACAGCAGCAATGGGAGGCCGTACAGGGACCCATGACACACACTCTGGACCTGGCAGCAGCATGAGGAGGCGGTACAGGGGCCCATGACAGATTACGGGCCTGGCAGCAGCATGAGGAGTCGGTACGGGGGGCCCATGGCAGATTACGGGCCTGGCAGCAGCAATGGGAGGCCATAATCTGCCAGCACCCTATGACAAAATGGAACCCACCAGCAGTGTGAGGAGACCTGAAAGTGGCACATGGCAGAGTGTGGCGATGGAGACAGCAGCAATGGGGAGGCCGTACAGGGACCCATGACACACTCTGGACACTCTGGACAGGCAGCAGCATGAGGAGGCGGTACAGGGGCCCATGACAGATTACGGGCCTGGCAGCAGCATGAGGAGTCGGTACGGGGGCCCATGGCAGATTACGGGCCTGGCAGCAGCAATGGGAGGCCATAATCTGCAGCACCCTATGACAAAATGGAACCCACCAGCAGTGTGAGGAGACCTGAAAGTGGCACATGGCAGAGTGTGGCGATGGAGACAGCAGCAATGGGAGGCCGTACAGGGACCCATGACACACTCTGGACCTGGCAGCAGCATGAGGGAGGCGGTACAGGGGCCCATGACAGATTACGGGCCTGGCAGCAGCATGGGAGGAGTACGGTACGGGGGCCCATGGCAGATTACGGGCCTGGCAGCAGCAATGGGAGGCCCGTACAGTCTGCCAGCACCCTATGACAAAATGGACCCACCAGCAGTGTGAGGAGACCTGAAAGTGGCATGGCAGAGTGGGCGATGGAGACAGCAGCATGGGAGGCCGTACAGGGGCCCATGACAGACTCTGGGCAGCAGCATGAGGAGGCAGCAGCATGAGGAGCAGCATGAGGGTCGGTACGGGGGGCCCATGGCAGATTACGGGCCTGGCAGCAGCAATGGGAGGCCCGTAATCTGCCAGCACCCTATGACAAAATGGAACCCACCACAGTGTGAGGAGACCTGAAAGTGGCACCTGAAAGTGGCACATGGCAGCAGCAATGGGAGTGGGGCGATGGGAGACAGCAGCAATGGGAGGCCGTACAGGGACCCATGACACACTCTGGACCTGGCAGCAGCATGAGGAGGCGGTACAGGGGCCCATGGCAGATTACGGGCCCTGGCAGCAGCAATGGGAGGCCCGTAATCTGCCAGCCCCTATGACAAAATGGAACCCCCCACAGCAGCAGTGTGAGGAGACCTGAAAGTGGCACATGGCAGAGTGTGGGCGATGGAGACAGCAGCAATGGGAGGCCGTACAGGGACCCATGACACACTCTGGACCTGGCAGCAGCATGAGGAGGCGGTACAGGGGCCCATGACAGATTACGGGCCTGGCAGCAGCATGAGGAGTCGGTACGGGGGCCCATGGCAGATTACGGGCCTGGCAGCAGCAATGGGAGGCCCGTAATCTGCCAGCACCCTATGACAAAATGGAACCCACCAGCAGTGTGAGGAGACCTGAAAGTGGCACATGGCAGAGTGTGGCGATGGAGACAGCAGCAATGGGAGGCCGTACAGGGACCCATGACACACTCTGGACCTGGCAGCAGCATGAGGAGGCGGTACAGGGGCCCATGACAGATTACGGGCCTGGCAGCAGCATGAGGAGTCGGTACGGGGGGCCCATGGCAGATTACGGGCCTGGCAGCAGCAATGGGAGGCCCGTAATCTGCCAGCACCCTATGACAAAATGGAACCCACCAGCAGTGTGAGGAGACCTGAAAGTGGCACATGGCAGAGTGTGGCGATGGAGACAGCAGCAATGGGAGGCCGTACAGGGACCCATGACACACTCTGGACCTGGCAGCAGCATGAGGAGGCGGTACACAGGGGCCCATGACAGATTACGGGCCTGGCAGCAGCATGAGGAGTCGGTACGGGGGCCCATGGCAGATTACGGGCCTGGCAGCAGCAATGGGAGGCCCGTAATCTGCCAGCACCCTATGACAAAATGGAACCCACCAGCAGTGTGAGGAGACCTGAAAAAATGGCACATGGCAGAGACCTGAAAGTGGCACATGGCAGAGTGTGGCGATGAGACAGCAGCAATGGGAGGCCGTACAGGGACCCATGACACACTCTGGACCTGGCAGCAGCATGAGGAGGCGGTACACAGGGGCCCATGACAGATTACGGGCCTGGCAGCAGCATGAGGAGTCGGTACGGGGGCCCATGGCAATTACGGGCCTGGCAGCAGCAATGGGACCGTAAAACCCCCTGGACAAAATGGAACCAGCAGTGTGAGGAGACCTGAAAGTGGCACATGGCAGAGTGTGGCGATGGAGACAGCAGCAGCATGGGAGGCCGTACAGGGACCCATGACACACTCTGGACCTGGCAGCAGCATGAGGAGGCGGTACAGGGGCCCATGACAGATTACGGGCCTGGCAGCAGCAATGGGAGTCGGTACGGGGGGGGCCCATGGCAGATTACGGGCCTGGCAAGCAGCAATGGGAGGCCCGTAATCTGCCAGCACCCTATGACAAAATGGAACCCACCAGCAGTGTGAGGAGACCTGAAAGTGGCACATGGCAGAGTGTGGCGATGGAGACAGCAGCAATGGGAGGCCGTACAGGGACCCATGACACACTCTGGACCTGGCAGCAGCAAGAGGAGGCGGTACAGGGGCCCATGGCAGAGTGGCGAAGCGTAAGCAGCTTAAATTGAAGGCCATACAGAGGCCTATATGTTAAAAATAATAACATGTTTGGGGCATGATTCATGGCGGATTTAGTCAGTTGTGTCAGGAACTGGTGGTTTGAAATCCAGACTAATCCACGCCTGATTCATTTTCACAAACGTGAGTCTCTCCACACTTTGGGTGGACAGTCGTGTCCTCCGCGGAGTTACAATACCTCCTGCCGCACTAAACACGCGCTCCGATGCCACGCTACTGGCCGGGCATGACAGCCTTTCAAGGGCAAATTCAGCTAGTTGGGGCCAAAGGTCAAGTTTCGTTGCCCAGTAGTCAAGGGGATTGTCTACCTCGGTTGGCAGGGTGCTGTCCAAGTAGGCCCAAGCCTGTTGTTTGAGGTCCTGCTCCAGGTCCACCTGATGCTGCTGCTGCTGCGGCTGGTTAGTAGTTTCCTCAACTGCGCTGGTGAAGAAAGCTACTCATCATCGACTGCAGACTGAGGCAGCCGCTGCTGGTGGAGCTGCCACTGCTCCTACCACCCCACCCCCCCCCTGCTGCCATGGCAGCGGAACGCGAGCGCACAGGGCCCACAGTGTCTGAGGATGGACGTTGGCGCAGAAAGGCAGAGACCAACTGACTACATAGGTGGTTTTTATAGTACGTTATTTTGGCCTCCCTCTCAGCAGGTGTGAAAAAGGCCACCATTTTTGAACGGTAGCGAGGGTCCAACAAGGTGGACAGCCAAAAGTCATCCCTCTGTCTGATGGTTATTATTCGGCTGTCGCTACGCAAGCAACCGAGCATGCTATGGGCCATTTGTGCCAAGGAATGCGAGGGACTCCCTGCCTCCATCTCCACAGCATACTGCCACGGTGCGTCTGGGTCCTCTGTCTCCTCCTCCTCCTCTACCAGATGCTCCTGCTCCTCCACTCCTGTCCGCTGAGTGGAAAAACCACCCATTTCACTCAATAATTCCTGAGCACCAATGTCCTCCTCTACCTCCTCCTCTTCTTCCTGTCCTGCCCCCACAGGGGTCATGTGGCGTTGAGATCTGTGCGCCACGTCTACCGCACCCTGACCAGCCATTGTTAACAGCATTTGTTCCAGGACGTGCAACAGAGGAATGTCGTTCATCCCATAGTCCTGCCGACTCACGAATAGCGTGGCCTCCTCAAAGGGCCTGAGCAAGCGGCAGGTGTCACGCATGAGCTGCCAATGGCTGACATCTAAGTTACACAGGGGAGTACCTTTATCCGCTTGTAACATCAGGAAATCGGTGATGGCCTTTCGCTGTTCGTAAAGGCGGTCTAACATATGTAGGGTTGAATTCCACCTTGTTGCAACGTCGCAGATCAGGCGATGCTGTGGAATTCCGTTCTGCCGCTGCAGCTCAAGGAGGGTGTGCTTTGCGGTGTAGGAATGGCTGAATGCATGCAAAGTTTACGTGACATTTTAAGGATGTCTTGCAGTGGGATGGTGGATTTTAGGAACCGCTTGACAACCAGATTGAACACGTGAGCCATGCATGGCGCATGGCACAACCTTCCTTGACGCAGAGCAGACACCATGTTCTTTCCGTTGTCGGTCAACATGGTTCCGATTTTCAGTTTGCGCGGAGAGACAGCCATCTGTCGATTTCTCTGTTCATTACACTCAGAAGTTCCTCCCCTGTGTGACTACGTTCGCCAAGGCATACCAGGTGCAGCACAGCGTGACACCGTTGCGCCCTGCACATGTGATATGCCGGTCGGGTAATGGGACTTGGCACGGGGGTGGCGGCTGAGGACACGGCGGAAGAAGAGGTGGTAGAGGCGGACATCTTTGCTGGACCAAGGACGTGCAAACGTGGAGGCAAAAGCGGCGTGACCTGTCCAAGTTGCTGGTGCGGCTGTGCCGGCACCACGTTCACCCAGTGGGCCGTAAATGACATGTACTGTCCCTGACCGTAGTTACAGCTCCACACGTCGGCGCTGCCGTGCACTTTGGCAGAGACCGACATGCTCAAAGACTGGCCCACCATCTCTTCTACATGTGAATGCAGGGCTGGCACTGCCTTTTTGGCGAAGAAATGCCGGCTTGGCACTCTCCACCGCGGCTCGGCACAAGCCATCATTTCTCGGAAAGGTGCTGAGTCCACCACTTGGAAAGGGAGGGACTGCAGCACCAGCAACTTGGACAGGAGGACGTTCAGCTTCTGCACCGTCGGGCGTGCTCGCAAACTGTTGTCTCTTGGAAACGGATTCCAAGAAAGACTGCTGACGGAATCCGTGAAGAGGAGTAGCAGGAGAAGGAGCATCTGAACGAGCGGAAGATGCCAACGAGCGACAACTCCCCTCAGCAGAGGTGTTGGAGCCTTGACTGGCTGATAGAGGGCGATTGACGTCGGGGGTGACGGAGCAAGTAACGGAGCGGGTGATGGAGCGGGGGCTGGGGCAGGCAGAACCGCCGTATCTTTATCACGGTTTTCCCAGGCCACCGAATGGCGACGCTGCATATGCTGACGCAACGCTGTAGTCCCAACATGGGCCCCCTGGCCACGCTTGACTTTCTGGCCACATAGTCGACATACGGCTACGTTTACTTCCTCGGGCGGCTTGACGAAAAATTGCCACACCCGCCGAGTAGGAAACTTTGCCCCCGCTACTCCTCACTGGCTGACTGCTACTTCCTCCGTGCACACCGGCACCACTACTGGCCGTGGTGGTAGGCTGCAGTGGAGCTGGTGCTCTACTCCGTGGCCGTTTGCCTCCACTGACACTGCTGCGACCCTGCTGCCTCCTGGGCAACCCACCGACTGTTTTGCTCGCTGCCAAGCTGGCACCCTCTTCTCCTGATGATGCGGAAGCAATAGCCTGATGACGACGAGGCTGCCAAGTGCGATCAGCCTCATCATCATCAATTAGGGTCTCCGCCTCACTACTAGCCCCCTCGGCTGCGTGTGGGTCAGGAGACAGACCTGTCTCTAGACCGGCTACCGAGCCACTCTCCTCGCCAGTACTTCTTCGCCTGGCTGCTGAAGAGGCGGATGTCTCCCCCCGTTCCTGACCGCCCTCTGTTAGCTCTTCCTCACTGTACAGTGGGGCTGAGCCCACAGCATGCGATACTTCGCTTGGTGAGGGAACACCAAAGGACAGGGGCAGGTAGAGGACACGTGATTTCAGTGGGCTTGCTCCCGGGCCATGCCAACTAACGGTTGTGTCTGACGTACCCACCGACCGTTGGCTGTAGGTGTCAGAGGTGACCTGGGAAGAGGAAGACGACCGAGCCAACCAATCGATGACGGCAGGGTTGTCGGTGGGAGACACGACCGCTGGATGACACCGGGAGCACTGGCCTCTGGCTGCGACTAGTGCTGCCTCGACCCCTTCCTCTGCTGCCACGTCTGCTCGCTCCTGAAACATTGCCTCCTCTGCCACTCCTCTGCGTGTTGTCTGACATACTCTTTAATTCAACGATTCTGTGTCCCTGAGTAACGATTCTGTGTCCCTGAGTAACTGAGTAACGATTCTGTGTCCCTGAGTAACGATTCTGTGTCCCTGAGTAACGATTCTGTGTCCCTGAGTAACGATTCTGTGTCCCTGAGTAACGATTCTGTGTCCCTGAGTAACGATTCTGTGTCCCTGAGTAACAATTCTGTGTCCCTGAGTAACGATTCTGTGTCCCTGAGTAACGATTCTGTGTCCCTGAGTAAGTAACAATTCTGTGTCCCTGAGTAACGATTCTGTGTCCCCTGAGTAACGATTCTGTGTCCCTGAGTAACGATTCTGTGTCCCTGAGTAACATTCTGTGTAACCCCCTGAGTAACGATTCTGTGTCCCTGAGTAACATTCTGTGTCCCTGAGTAACAATTCTGTCCTCAGTAACGATTCTGTGTCCCTGAGTAACAATTCTGTGTCCCTGAGTAACAATTCTGTGTCCCTGAGTAACAATTCTGTGTCCCTGAGTAACAATTCTGTGTCCCTCAGTAACAATTCTGTGTCCCTGTGTCCCTGAGTAACAATTCTGTGTCCCTGAGTAACAATTCTGTGTCCCTGAGTAACAATTCTGTGTCCCTGAGTAACAATTCTGTGTCCCTGAGTAACAATTCTGTGTCCCTGAGTAACAATTCTGTGTCCCTGAGTAACAATTCTGTGTCCCTGAGTAACAATTCTGTGTCCCTGAGTAACAATTCTGTGTCCCTGAGTAACAATTCTGTGTCTGTCCCTGAGTAACAATTCTGTGTCCCTGTAACCTGAGTAACAATTCTGTGTCCCTCTGAGTAACATTCTGTGTCCCCTGAGTAACATTCTGTGTCCCTGAGTAACAATTCTGTGTCCCCTGAGTAACAATTCTGTGTCCCTGAGTAACAATTCTGTGTCCCTGAGTAACAATTCTGTCCCTGAGTCTGTGTCCCTGAGTAACAATTCTGTGTCCCTGAGTAACAATTCTGTGTCCCTGAGTAACAATTCTGTGTCCCTCTGAGTAACAATTCTGTGTCCCTGAGTAACAATTCTGTGTCCCTGAGTAACAATTCTGTGTCCCTGAGTAACAATTCTGTGTCCCTGAGTAACAATTCTGTGTCCCTGTCCCCCTGAGTAACAATTCTGTGTCCCTGAGTAACAATTGTGTCCCTGAGTAACCTGAGTAACAATTCTGTGTCCCTGAGTAACAATTCTGTGTCCCTGAGTAACAATTCTGTGTCCCTCAGTAACGATTCTGTGTCCCTGAGTAACAATTCTGTGTCCCTGAGTAACAATTCTGTGTCCCTGAGTAACAATTCTGTGTCCCTGAGTAACAATTCTGTGTCCCTGAGTAACGATTCTGTGTCCCTGAGTAACGATTCTGTGTCCCTAAGTAACGATTCTGTGGCCCTAAAGTCTCTTGGCCCTCTCTGTCCCTAATACAGAGAGGTCTGTCTCTCTTGAATGACCGGAGGCTAATGGAGAATTGTAAGATGGCCGCAATTTATAGCTCCACCATTACACAGTGCTGGCTGGCTGGCTGCTGATTGTAATGCGATCACATCATGAATGAATGCATTATGTCAGCGCGCCTTGTCTGCGCGCCTTCCCAGAGATCAATTCTGTCGTCCCATGAGTAACAATTCGTGTCCGAAGTGTTGCTAATTTTCGGATTCCCGAATCGAGTTCGAAACGAATTCTGTGTCCTCTAGTAACAATTCTGTGTCCCTGAGTAACAATTCTGTGTCCCTAAGTAACAATTCTAGTGGGGCACGATTCTGTGTCCTGAGGCCCTAACAATTCTGTGTCCCTTCTTGGATCCATACCAATAACTTCTGTGTCCCTAAGTACAGGTCTGTCTCTCTTGTAATGATTCTGTGGCCCTAAAGTCTAATGGAGAATTAAGATCCTGCTTTCCCATAATACAGACAGGTCTGTCTGGCTGGCTTGAATGACCGGAGGCTAATGGATAATTGTCAGATGAATAAATGAATTCATTATGGTGTCAATGCTCCACCATTACACATTGTGGCTGGCTGGCTTCTGCTGATTGAGATCCCCGATCACGTCGTCATGACATGTCGCCGCCATTTTGGAAAAATTTGATTCGTGCATCCGAAAGCCTTGCCCAGAGATCCCCCTCGCTCCGTCGCCACACATTCGCGCCTAACAATGCATTTTTTTGAATAAAAAATTTGATTCGTCATGCAATCCTCAGAACAGATTCAAGTGTAACTATCAAAAATTCAACTAGAATTTTCTGTATTTTTCGGATTCGGCGCGAATCGAATTTTTCCTGAACTTCGAACGAATTCCCCTACTTCGCCATGTTCGATTCGCTCATCTAGTTTTCATCATGGTACCTGCACACATCTACAGAGGGCATTGCATTTCTTTGCTGTGCTGGAAAATGTGTGTTCTTGCATGCGTTTCATCTGCACCACCAATGGTGTGAACAAGTCCTAAGGGCCGGTTCACACTAAGGGAGACCGGTTCACACTATAGAAACAGTCTAGATGTGTTCCTGATGGGTTTTTTTTTCATGCCCTTTTGGCATGCATGTTTAGTGTGTTCCAGTACATTTTGGATGCGTTTTGGGACATGTGTTTACATTGCATTTTTGTATCCCTTCCACTTATTTTTTTCTATTTTCTTTGTATTCAATGTAGTTAGGGGACATGTGCGTTTTAGTACATTCAAGGACGTTTCAATGTGTTCCAGTACAGTTCTGTGCAGAAACAATGCAGTGTGGTCAACTTTGTTTACAGCACCTGCAATGCACTGAAAATGCAGCGCTGATGTGAACTATGACATTGACAACCATATAACCTTCTTTCTGTGCGTTTGTGATGCCGAAAAAGCAACTGAAACACATGTAGTGTGAACTGGCCCTAAAGGTTATTAGAGGTCAGGGAACGGGACTGACCAGGAATTGTGAATTCAATCAGATTAGTGGTGATATACAATCAGCAATCGTATAAAAATGTGAGATCTGAGCTGTAGCTGATAGAAAATGAGACACATTCACTTCATCAGTAAATAGATAGTTAAAGAGTGGGGCGGTGATCCATAGATTTGCATATGGGACAGGTGATGATGGGGTGGGGGAGGGGGTCAAGTTGTATAAGGAGACAGATTTAAAAGAGAAAAAAGTTACAATGAAATATACACGGCATGAAACTTGCACATTTCCTAATTGGCAGAAGAACAGTACATAGGTAACATTCATCCACTTTCTAGTCATTAGGCAAAATCATAATTGATTGATCAATATTCCTGGCACTGACACAACCCAGAAAATTGATCTCCATTTTTTGGGATGTAGCCATGACTGGGATTAGAACCCATGACCCAAGTGCTGTAAGTTCTGAGCTCTAACCACTAAACCACTGTGGGAGACACAGTTTGAGCTACAATGTAGAATAGTTACATTGTTTAAAAATGATACAGCGAGCGCTGGTCAAATGATATAGACTACTAAAATGGTATTACACAAGATAAATATAACCACGAACAGTAGTGCATGAATTCGTGAAAGGTCATCCACCCTTGTGACAGTGTACTACACTATTGAGCACCTCCCCAGGACCATTTGGGCACCCACCCAGATGGATGGATTGAGCTGGATGACTAACCCATAGCTGCCAGCATACCGCTGCACCCCCAGATGTGTGATGTGTATAACATATGCACATTAATACTTTTGTTCTGGTGAGTGTAGACCAGTCCCAAGGGTGGTTTACCTTTCACAAGTTCATGCACTACTGTCCGTCATGGAGAGACCACACGTGCCATTCATAGGCACTCTCTGAGTTGGTACTCTCACACGAAGGACATTCCATTATTCAGGAATGATTCTATGAACTTATTTTAGCACCATTTACAATTTTACATCATTGTTGCAATTCTTTGCACTTTTTGGTTTTTACATGCGTTCATTATTGATCACATGCATTTATAGCGCTGCACTTGTCTTTAACATAGAATAGTTACGTGTTTAAAGAGAATGAAGATATATAATTATATTGGGAAATTAGAAGTATATAAATTATTTGAGATATAAGTGTGAAAATGTTTAACATTTGAATACAGAATGTATGACATTCATTAGTAAATGCATTAGTTTCCTGATCATTTTGGAGAAACAGCAAAAAAAAGAAAATAAAAAAAATAGAAAATTCTAATACAGGTGTACTATTTATTACATTCTAAGGATTCTCTTTTGCTATCAGAAAAACGCCAATATTAATAAAGCCCGCGCTTGTGCGCCATCTAGCGAACATATCCGGTATTGCACCTAAAAATGTGCCAGACGGGATACCACATTTACTAATAGCAAAGTAGTCAGTAGATGCTCTTTAATGAGCTTGCTAGACGTTGCTCAGACGACTGATTGATTGAACTGAGTCTGCCTGAATGGTCAGTCTCTGCTAGTACACTCACATTTTAGTGAATCAAGGCCTTGGAGTCTTTGGTGAAAACTAATGTAGATGTAATATCTATATCTGACCATGACCCTGTCACAATGAGACTATGAATGGGAAGAACAGAGTAAAATAAATATGTGGAGATTAAATGAAACCATCTTACAGGTTCCAGAAGTAGAAACAAGAGTAGAAAAGGAAATCGATCAATATTTTATGATAAATGAGTCCAAGGAAGTTTCTATCGCCACGGTATGGGAAGCACATAAAGCTTATACTGATAGCAAAGGGGGTGGAAATAAAGAAAGAGCAGGGAAAAATAATCAGGACATTAATGGAGGAACTACATCAGCTGGAACAACTACATAAAAAGATGATAAATATAGAGTTACAACAAGAGATAATACTAAAAAAGGGAAGAGTTAAAGGACTTTATGGAGCAAGAAACAAGGAAAATGTTTAATGGGGTCTCTAAGGAAAGATATCGGTGGGGGAATAAACCAGGAAAATACTTATTGAGGAAGTTAAAGGAAAAGGAATCAAAGAAATTTGAAGACAAAGTTAAGGATGAAAAAAGGAGAGATGGTGTAGACAACCACCGATATCACCAATACATTCCATAGATTTTATAGTAAGCTATATGGTTCAGAAGGAAAATATAAGGAATTAGAAGAAGAGAGAAGGGAGAAGAGGTTGTTTTACTTGAAAGAGGCCGGTATGCCTAGTTTAGATAAAGCCAGATTAGCAGCTTTAGATACCCCAATATCAATTGAAGAGGTCAACTTAGCATTAAAGGGCACAGCTACAGGGAAGAGCCCAGGACCTGATGGATTCACAGTGGGATATTATAAGACGTTTAAAGAACAATTAGCCTCCAAACTGTGCAGATATATGAATGTACTGGGAGAGGAGACAAAGATGAGAGAGGAGTCGTTACATGCATATATCACGATCATACATAAGGAAGGGAAAGATAGGTCTCAGTGTGCCAGCTATAGACCTATATCTTTGCTGAATACGGACACAAAATTGTATGTGAATGTATTATCGACAAGGATGAAAGAGATGACATCCGACAGGATACATTTAGGCCAAGTGGGATTTATCCCGGTCAGAGAGGGAAAGGATAAGAACATTGCTCATCCTGCAAAAGATCAAAAGAGGAGAGGTTCCGAGAATTATTCTGTCAGTTGATGCTGAAAAGGCCTTCGATAGAGTGGACTGGGGATTTATGATCGATATGTTGAAAACAATAGGAATTGGGCCTAGAATGATGCAATGAATAAAAGAGCTATACAGAAGTCCCTCAGCTGCAGTAAAAGTAAATGGTTCATTATCCAAATTTTTTTAAGATGCATAATGGAACCATATAGGGATGTCCCCTCTCCCTGTTGCTCTTTGTGATCTCCTTTGAACTGCTGTTAGCAACTATTAGAAATAGCGTACATGTCAAGGAAATGTGGATGGGGGACAGTGAACATAAAGTGGCAGCATAGGCTGATGATATGCGGTTCTATATAACAAACCCCAGATTAACATTACCAAACTTAATGAGAAAACAAAGAATATGGAGAGCTATCCAACCTTAAAATGAACCCTTTGAAAAGTGAGATCTTCAATATAAATATCCCAAAGGCAGAGAAACAAATTTTACAAAAAGAATTCCCCTTTAAATGGAGAGATAAAGAAATAAAGTATTTGGGAATAAAATTAACATCATCTATAAAAAAAATTTATATCAGGAAAACTATATCCCGTTGATGAATTGAGGAAAACCTCTGAGATTAAAATGATAATAGTACCAAAAGTTTTATATAAATTTAACATGTTCCCAATAACTCTTCCAGGGTCTTTTTTTAGGTTTCTTAAAAAAAAAATGATACTCAGATATGTGTGGGTTAATAGAAAACCAAG